TATTGTAGAGATGAGGTCTCACCAAGTTGCCCAGGCGGGTCTCGAACTCGCAGGCTCAGGCAATCTACTCACCTCAGCCTCCCAAAACGCAGGATTACAGGCTGAGCCACTGAGCCCGGCTTAATTTTTTGATTTTTAATAGAGATGGGGCCTGGCTATGTTGCCCAGGCTGATTTCAAATTCCTGGGCTCAAGCAATCCTCCTATCTCAGCCTCCCAAAGCTCAGGGATTACAGGTGTGAGTCACCACACTCAGCCCATATGGATATTTTAGTGATGGATTTCCAACGTATAAGGCCACAGTCCACAGTGAGAAATACACTTCATATAGTGATCCGGTATACACACCAGATCATGGAGTACAAAGTTTCTTTTTTTTTTTCTTTTTTTTGAGTTAGAGTCTCACTCTGTCACCCAGACTGGAGTGCAATGGCCGCTCCTGGCCATCGCAGCCTTGACCTGCTGGACTCTGGCGATCCTTCCACCTCAGCCTTCCAAGTAGCTGGAACTACAGGCGAGCACTACTACGTCCGGCTGATTTTTGATTTATTGTAGAGATGAGGTCTCGCCAAGTTGTCCAGGTAGGTCTCGAACCCGCGGGCTCAGGCAATCCACTCACCTAGGCCTCCCAAAGTGCTGGGATTACAGGCTGAGCCACCGAGCCCGGCCTAGTACAAAGTTTCTAACCACTACATGCCATGCTTTTGGGTAATGTCTATTTTCCATTCAGTCTATTTTCTTTTCTTTTTTTTTTTTTTGAGTTGGAGTCTCACTCTGTTGCCCAGACCGGAGTGCAGTGACCGCTCCTAGCCACTGCAGCCTCGACCTGCTGGCCTCAGGCGATCCTTCTGCCTCAGTCTTCCGAGTAGCTGGAATTACAGGCGCGCGCTACCATGCCCGGCTAATTTTTTGATTTATTGTAGAGATGAGGTCTCGCCTGCCCAGGCAGGTCTTGAACCCGCAGGCTCAGGCAATCCACTCACCTTTTTTTTGTTGTTGTTGTTTTTTTTTAGTTGAAGTCTCAGTCACCCATCCAGGTTGGAGTGCTGTGGCATGCTGCTTACAACCGCCACAGTTGCTACCTGCTGGGTTCAGGTAATACTTCTGTCTCCACCTCCTAAGTAGCTGGATCTACATGTGTGTGCCACCACACCGAGTTAATTTTTCTTGTTTTGTTTGTGCAGGCAAGGTCTCACTAAGTTGCCCCACCTGATCTTGAACCCCTGTGCTCAGGCAATCCTCTCACCTCAACCTCCCAAAGTGCTGAGATTATAGGTGTGAGTCACCATGCCCAGCTTCCATTAATTCTATTTTATTAATAAAAATCTGGTCACAACCTCCTAAATTGTTTCATGACTTGCCAACAGGTCTTGGCCTGCAATCTGAGAAACACAGAATTCTGGAGAACAATCTGGGTTGGTGTTAGATAAGAGGTCACTATCACTACGTAGAAGTAGGTTATAATAGCTTCTGGGGGTGCTCGAGTGTTTTGTTCATACTTCCCCACCTTCAGCATGAATTCCTGTATGAACACATAAACACACACACAGCTACACAAACACCACTCCCTTTTCCCCCCAGAAAAGTTTGAAGTGACTGAGTCTCTCTTTCCGTTTCTCTCTTTCTCTCTCTCCCTCCTTCCCTTCCTCTCTCTCTCTGCCCCTTCCCTTCCCTTCTCCCTTCTTCCCTTCCTCTCTCTCTCTACCTCCCTCCTTCCCTCTCCCCCTTCACTCTGGCTTCTTTTCATCTCCATGTCTCTGCCTTGCACACACATGTGTTTTGGATC